ATAGAGAATATTTTTAGGGTGTGGCTTGTTAATTTTATTAGACTACGTAACTGCTGGCAAAACTTTACTTTGATCCTCACATTGATATACTCCTGTGAGCAATGACTATACTCTCAGTTTGGCTAGCCATCTTCCTGAATAAATTGTGGACAGAAGTACTTGGTGCTATGATGGAGACTGTGGGCTCTGGAGTTAGATAACGCTGTGAATACCAAAGCCCAGGCCTCAACAAATTACTTAATTCCCTTAAGCTTCAGTTTTCTTCTCTTTAAAGTAAGATAATGTTAATATTTGTCATTATAGGGTTGATATAAGGACTAAAGAGACAATGTACATAAAGTGCTTATCCCATGCCTATGTGAAAAATTTCACACAAAAAAATTAGCTCTGATTAGAAGCAGTAGTTTAAAATGGTTTTAGGAAATTCAAAAGTATACTGAGTCAGAAGTATGTGAAAGCTCATATATTTACAGTATTAAGGATGCTATTTTTACTTGCTAATGCATAAAGCATTTTAGTGGAAAGAGAAAAAGGTTAAGAAAGTATAGTATAAACTTCTATTTAATAAATCTAGTCTCAGGATAAAAGCAAATACCAGCAACAGAAGAATCTAGTAGCAAAAGTGAAGGGAGAAAGACAAACGCATTCCAAATCCTTGCCTAGCAATGAGGATGGGTAGCAGTGGAAATAGCACAGGGCTTGGAGGGAAGATTTGTGAGTTTTTGCTCTCTCATCAACATTTAACGATGATGTTCGATTGGATGTTTTCAGGGTTCTTTTTTAGCTTTTATTCAGTGGAAATCTAAGAAAAATTGTCTTTTCTTTTCAATGGAATAAAAGTTTGAATGCTTTGTAGTAAGCTGGGCCTTCCAAAGATATCCACATGTCAAAAGGGTCTTTGCAGATGTGATTAAGAATCTTGAGATGGGAAAATTATCCTGGATTCCCTACGTGGGCCCAATGTAATCGCATGGGTCCTTATAAGAGTAAGAGAGGAAAGCAGAGAGAGATGGATGGAGGTATGATGAAGGAATCAGATATCCTCAGGATGCACGCTGAGGAACGTGGGAAAAGAACAAGGAATAGATTTTTCTCTAGAGCCCTCAGAGACTGATTTTAGACTTTTGTCCTCTAGAACTATAGGATAATAAATGTGTGTTGTTTTAATCCACTAAGTTTGTGGTAATTTGTTACAGCAGCAATAGAAAAGTAATACAGGCTTTATCAGTGTGGTTTTGCTAAAAGGTGGCAAGCTGTGTTACTTGAGGTACTATGTAGATATTCGATGATCCATGCATTTTTTTTATAATTATGGCTTTTAAATGAGCTTTTTAATTTCTGTTTTATTACTTCCAATTTTCCCAGTTTCTTCCCTTCATGAGTTCTTATGAGTGAACTTTCCAGTCAACCTATGATTCCACTTCAGTAGCCCTCTGGGAATAAGAGCTCAAATTAGAACAATGAATACACAGGTGGACACTAACAGGAAATATTTTCATATAATGGGTCATATGCAAAGCACGCTATACATACGATGAAACTGACACATTGAGTAGGCTAAAAACCAGGTTATTAGCTATGACCTAAGTTGACTTAACATAAAAACACACCACAGCTTGTTTTAAGGAATGATAAGATATAAGGTAGGTTGGTTGGGTTAGTTATAAAAGAGGTGTGACATAGTGGCTTATTTCTTTTTATTAATATCTGTGCCTTATCCTTCCTACATTGGTTCAGTTTCACTGGTACCCTCATTGGTGTTTCAATTATTTTAAGACTCAGTGAACAGCTCTCCTTTCCAGGAAGGAAGGATGGTGCAAAGGACAAGATGTGGCGATGGCTGAGAGCTACTATAACATACTAACATTTAAAGGATGACTCTGATAGATCCTGACTTCCCTGGTCTGCTGCCTTCACTATATTTAGGACTTTCCAGGACAGGTATTTAGAGGTTCTCCTGTACCCACCCCACTGCCCACCTTCCCCTGCCCACCCCCCCCCCCCCCTCCACTGGTGCTTCCTTTTTGTCTCCTGTAACATATCCAAGCCCAAAGGTCAAGTAGAAGCAGAGGGCAAGAGTGCTTGGACAAGTTTGGACTGAGGTCAGCCTAAATGAGTATTAGGCTATGAATCATGACGGCAGAAGTCAGTGTTTTCCTGAGACCAGGAAGTCCTCAAGACTAGTGAATGCCTAGTAATAATATAGATAGAAGTCTTGTGGGAAGTTAGGCCCACAAGGATCTAAAAGGAATTTGGCGAGGTACACTCAAGTGCCAAATTATTTCAAAATTAAATAAATTAAACCAACTCAATCACTATGATAAAAGACCATAATTAATTAAATTAAAATTGAAGTTAGTTAAAGTAAAATTAAAATTGCGTGTGAGTGGAAAGAAAACATTTTTGTGGACTTAGGCTAGCCTAGAATAAAAGCTAACCATCCAATGGGTCACCAGTGATGGATAATACCCGTGACAAAGGGATGGCAATATGAGACTGTTGAAGCAAAAACAATTTGCAGCTGACCAGCTCATCCTTTCAGTAAAATGTAAGCCTCATTTCTGTATCAATAACGCGTACCTGCTATGAGAGACGTCTTTCTGAGCTGAGTCACCTAGTATTTATTTAATATCTACAATATCTAAGGCACTATAAGAAGATAATGCTGAATCAGCTAAATGTGCTGATTTGGTGCCCTGAATAATGCGGCATTCATTACTTACAGCCCTTACGTAAATATCAAGTTGGGAACTATAAACCTAAACATATTATTATTTAATAATTAATTTATAAGAGCTTTAAGGAGTGATTTAAAATTTAAAACCTAGACTTAAATCTGCTAAAGTACCTTTTCATTTCAATTTTTTTAAGATAAAAATCTCAGTTCCTAACTTAGCTTCTTTTCCAGTTATAGAATACCCTGATTTAAGAAAAAGTATACAGATTAAAAAGTCAGACTTACAAAACTGATAAGGTATGTGTAAATGGTAGTTCATTTTGAAAAAGTTTCTACAAATATTCCTAAAATCCTGACCTCACTGAAGTAATTCCATAGCTGGCTGGAATAATTTTGGGGATGGGGTGCCTTGGTTCTATTAAAACTAGTGTTTTAAATAAAATGATATATTTTAAAACCATTTTAAGAACAGTACAGCAACTTTAAACTTTTAAACTGCGGCAGTCCCTAAAAGCAGCTGGTCTCTACTTATTTTCTGCCTTCATCAGCTGATAACCCCACAGATCCTTGTAGACTATCTGGGACCCTAATTCTCAGCATGGTTGCTTGTTCCCATGAAGGCAGTGACTTTAAGAGAATGCTGATGTGGAGCATCCTTTAAAATCTTTTGAAATAAAAATGCAAATAAAAAATTAGACAGGTCTATTAATTAGAAAGGAAAGTGTTTCTCTGACATCTGTAGGTATGACAGTAGGATTGCTATGGATAGGCTCAAGGGGAAAGTAGGCATTATAGGTATTTGCTAATCTAGGAGGCATTACAGACTTGGGCCTGGGCTGCTCCTGCTCTGAGGAATTAAGCATATCCGTATCATATTGCCCTTTCCCTCCTTTCCACCCTACTCTGGAAAGAGGAAACACCAAGGGCTCTATATCCACACATAGCAAAGGGGCCACAGGCTTTCAGTGCCAATGCTTTTAAACAATAATCTGGTTCTCAATCCCCTAAGCCTATTTTTATTTTGCATTTTATAAAAAGTGGCATAAGACACAAATGGTTTTAATTTTTTTCACAAGATTTCAGATTACTGGCAGAGGGTACTTTAGAGAGGCTGGCTGTAAGTATCACTGTAAATGGAAGAAAATACAATTAAGGATGGAGATAAATCATTAGATGAAATGACATATTTAAGTAAATGGAAAACATGATTCAGTTTACCAATATTGTTATTTACACAGAATTTTAAAATCATACATATATTACATAAAATAAAGTACATATAAAGTTTAAACAAATTACTTGATTGAATAATAATAGAGAAAGGCATTTAAAAATTTTCACCCGTAATAAACGTAGCTCTTATTTTAAGTAACTAAGTGTTCATACACGGGTAAGCTTGTGACTTATTCTGCCTAACCGAAAGCTTGGAATAATGGAATCTTCAGAATGGATCAATGTAAGGCATTTCACTTACTGAAGTGGAAGATAACTACTTAATTCTCCCAGAAATTTTACACTGTAATCCTCCCTATCCCCCTGACAAAGAAATATAATGGAATTTTGGCAAACAGTGGATATTCACTGAAAGAAGCATTGAGAGATATTATGAGAGAACGTCCTATGGTCTGGAGTGAAGGACTACCTCAAAGTACTCTAATTTGCTACAAAATTTGGGAAGTTCCAAATTAAAATCATTCTCCCTGCAATGCCACAGGCCCAACTACATCTTACTCTCTCTTTGCTAAAATCTTTTAATTTAGTTAACTGGGTAATTTTTCCCTCTGGGAATATATTCCCAATTTCATAGTGGAAGTTGAAAGGAAAATATTCACTTTGCAGCAAATTGCTTTATAAGCAAATGTGCTTTTTATAAAGTGAGGGATACAGGGATTATCTCACTTAAATGAATTTAGTAATTTTTGTTTCCTTTTAAAAATCTGAAGGGGGGCTTCCCTGGTGGTGCAGTTGTTGCGAGTCCGCCTGCCGAGGCACGGGACACCTGTTCGTGCCCCGGTCCGGGAGGATCCCACATGCCGCGGAGCGGCTGGGTCCATGAGCCATGGCCGCGGGGCCTGCGCGTCCGGAGACTGTGCTCTGCAGCGGGAGAGGCCACAACATTGAGAGGCCCGCGTACCGCAAAAAAAAAAAAAAAAATCTGAAGGGAAGATGGTGTGTAAACAGAACATGTCTGTACTTGAATAGCATGATTCTATTGATACATGCAGTAAAGGAGATCAAAGCATGCCAAATAATTATTAAGTAATTCCTACTAATTATTCTTTGCATTATACAAAGATCAAAATATGTGTTAACTCCAACAGCATCACTGCACTGACTGTGCATTTACTAATTTAAAATATATGTCTTGATTTCTCAGGAGCTCTTGATGAGTTCCTTGTTCCTTTATTTTTCCACTGTGCAGAACCACTATCAGATCTGCATTCTGTATCGTGGAGAGTCTGTGAGCCACAACTAGGCATGTCCTCCCCTTACTGGCCTTATCAAGGGCATGCTGAACCACCTGGAAGAGAGAAGGACCAGTGATTGCTACCTTGGGTTAAATGCTAATAAACTTGCGCAAGTCAAATTAATTAAGGTAATCTAATAACATTCATTGTGTATTTGCTTATCTCCAAGGAAACTACCCTACTTTGTGAAATACCCTACTCAATAGAAATCTAGAAAAAGTAATTATAGACACATTAAGTAATACTTTTAATTTGAAGAGCTTTCGTGACAATGAATAAAAATTAGGTGGTTATTTGTAAGTAAGTGGTTCCAAAGTCAAAGCCGGAAAGTAGTATTTCCATACCCAAGTGGAATTGTCTAATTTACTTCATTTCTTCTCACAGTTTTATTTTTTTATTTGTGTTGGTTTTTTCTTTCTTTTTTTTAAATATTTAGTTGTAAAACTGTCCTGGCTAAAGCAGCATCTCAGCTACAATGAGGTTATAATGCTATATAAGAAGAAATGAGGGAATTCCCTGGCGGTCCAGTGGTTAGGACTCTGCACTTCCACTGCAGGGGGCATGGGTTCAGTCCCTGGTTGGGGAACTAAGATCCTGCATGCCATGAAGCATGGCCAAAAAACAAACAACAACAAAAAAGAAATGAAAGTGGAGGGTGAAAACCAATATTTGCTGAGTATATAAAATATTCCAATGATGGATATTTCGTTTAAATTCTTTCAGTAACTCTGTGAGGATTATTTTCATTTCCCTGATGAGTAAACCAAGATTTGAAAAGTCCAGGTCCCTGGACCTAGGCCACACTGCTAGTAACTGATGAATCCAGGATTACAGCCCAAATATGTCTGGTTCCAGAAGTCCCATTTTTTTCTTTCATAACACACTGTCTCCTTGGAAATAAAGAATGATAATCATCTACAAATAGCAATTGTGTGGTGATTAATCACATGGGATCTTAGGTCAGACACCATCTATTAAAATTTAGGGAAGTTTCTTAACTTTTCTAAGCCTTAGTGTGCTGATCTGTAAAACGAGCATAAAATAAGCTAATTCATCAAGTTGTTGTGAGGATTGAGATAGTAGTATATAATAAGTACTTGATAAATATGAAAGATTGTAATTCATTCAACCAACATTCATTTAACAAATAAGAACATGCTACATGCAAGAACTATTAGGGGACAAGGACATAGTAAAATTAAACAACTGAAGGACCTTGCAGTGTAGGTTTATCGTTACATGTCTGTTTGCCCCCTTGTTTCCTTCTCAAACAGAGCTAATAGTCTATAGACGGTAGAGTAGCAGGCTCCAACATTGCAGTGTAGATCACTCTTTTATATATGTAGATTGCCTTATTATTTTGTTTGGCATCATTAAAATAATAATAAAACAGGAAAGTAATTTTCATTGGGCTTTTTCCTTGAGTGGAGAAACATTTCAAGAATTGGGTCCCTTTTGATAATGAGACCAATTCAAATGAGAAAACCTTTCTAAAACATGAGATGCCCTGTGTCCCAACTCTCTCCCACCTCCCCACCAGCCTCTAACCTTTTTATAAAGGCCAAAACCTTAATTACAACTGGTGACCCTATGACTACAATTCTCTCCAGGCCTTCTTCCCCAAACTGAGCTTCATTTCTTCCACAATACTCCACTCTCATACTTCATATTACATCCTGAGATGAAAGAAGAGGATGTTACCTTTTCACTCTCATTATCAAGGGCTGAAGTGGCCTCATCCAACAACAAAATTTTTGGTTTTCGGAGAAGAGCCCTTGCAATAGCTAGTCTTTGTTTCTGGCCACCAGAAAGCTGTGTTCCTTTCAGTCCAACTTGTGTGTTGTATTTCTATTACAGGAACGTGTAATTAAGAAAGCAAGGCTTGGTTATTTAAATTAACATGGCAACTGTAGGCGAGAGCCATCTAAATATTTCAAATTTTGCTACTCTCTAAAATTTGTGTCCCAACAAGTACTAAAATCTATTCTTGGGCTTTGTTGCTAATAAATGCTAAACCAGCAGTAAACACTACCATCTCACTTACATATCTAATCTGATCACAAACAGTAGACCTTTGCCATTGTGCTTCTACAAAGGAATTGTTCAAATTAAAGCATAAGAAAAAAAATTATTAGGGAAAAAAAGTTCCCAGTAAGCACAAATCTTTCCCCATTAAGTTAAATTGTCTTCTGTTTTCAGATCAAAATGATTTAAAGTATCATTTTAAAGGAAATCATTGGGTTCCTTAACTTTGACTTTCACCAACCCTCTATGGGCACATCTCTCCAGATGCCGTGATGCCCTTCTCAGAGGTGCAGGTATCATCCTAGCAGTAAGTTAGGCTGACATCTTGAGACAGTCTATTCACCTTTTCAGGCCATGATAGTGACATTTAGCACTTCACAATGTTTCTACACTCTCCTACATACTAATGACCCCTTTTTCAGTATTACCCTCCATGGAAGGGTAAAGGAAGTTTTTCACTTATCCTGAAGCCATCCTAAATCACAATGGATTAGCAAGCAGGCTCCCACTTGCTTTCTAGGTTGTCCTGTTAACTCTGCTTCCCTCCAAGGTTTCACACTGCTTTCTAGTAGCCCTTGCCAGTTGTCTGAGAAATACATGCCATTGGTACCCAGACAGGGATGTGTGGATGGATGAGCTCCACTGGGAAAGTGAGTCCAAGTGTACAGTCTTCTAAAGGTGGATCCTGTAGCAGCATTATAGAGAAGATGCAGCACATGACTGATGTGCTATTTATGTTAGTGCCCTGGAGAAGCGTGATTCAATTGCTTTCCCTCCATACCTGGCTGCCTTCAGGAGGTGCCTTTCCAGCAGAGTGGGTTTCCAGAGAGTCTGTGATATAACTTTATAACAAATGTGTTTGCTTCATGTCAAAGTTCATTTTTCAACTTAAAATGCTCAGTTGCTTACTTTATATCAAACAATGGGTATCTGAATTACTAACGCCCAGTAAAAGCATCCTTTCTGAAGTGAATGCTCTATGAAGAAAACAGACTTTAGCTAGCTCCTCTGTGATTTTTATCTGGGATTGCTAGCACGCTGGGTCTCTTCCTCCTAAAATGCATTTTATTAAAATTGGAATCATAGGGCAACAGATAATCAGGTAAAACTCTGTAGTTCATTTCCACACACTGCAAAGTTCCCATCTCATTAGAGAATTCAATCTTAAGCCAGAAATTGAGAGAGGATTGGGTGGGAATGATAAAGGGCTTGTAGCTCTTTCTGCCAGTCCAGCTTAAATTGTATGTGGATTCCTCTATTATAGCTGAAGAAGATACAATACTAGCTTAGAAATCACTTTGCATCTCTTGGCCTTCTCTGGCTTGCAGGGAGATGTAAGTCTCAAGAATGAATTGGTTGAAAATACAGTTCAGATGTTTTTGCCCATCATTAAGCAGAACAGATTGTAAATGTGACTATACACGTTGTCTCAATAGCAGCCCCAAAACATTATCAGACACTTAAACTGAAGGTTTTTGTTTGTTTTTAATGAAGAACCATAGGCTTTCATTCTTTCCTGTTTAAACTGAAAATCTAAATTTTCTGGCAAACACTGGGATAGTGAGTGCCCTAAAATCACCTGTTTTATGAGACACTGAAGGGGCAATGGCTGTTCAATGTGAACCTGGGTCTAAATACCAGTTGGATCCTGGAGGGAACATCAGAAAGAGTCTTGTCCTAAACCAACTGCATTCTGGAGATTCCCTGCAGGCCCTGGAAAGGAGTTTCAGGGTGGTTCCAGTGGGAGACATCATGTGGCTTGACTGAGAGCTGCCACCCTGTGAAACTGTGGCCGCTAGGGGACATCTACACCTGCTGTGTTTCTCCGAGGATCCTCAAGACCAAGTCAGTGTTATGCCAACTCGTCTTCCAGGCTGATATTTCCAAATGCCTGCAGGTTATCTCCATGGCACATACCATAGATGTGTTACCCTTAGCATGCTCTGAGTTGATGCTCTGCTATTCACCCTCCTGCCTTGATCTGCCAGATAGGTCCATAATCCTTTATCTGAAACCCACAGGGCTATATTTGTTTAAGAAGTCTATTTTTTTTTTTTTTACTTTAGAAGAAAATATACTGTAAATTGTACATACTATATATTATTTATATTTAATATGTGATATATATTATTTAACACCCCCAGAAAGGGCTGGGTAGCAACCAGTAATCAAATATATGAATATTTCTGTAGAAATATTTGACAATTCATTCTAAGTAAGACTAATAAAGATTTCATAAAGCCTCACATCATTTTGGCCACCCAATAAATTGACATCAAACACATGGTCTTTGTGCGTGGAGGGGAGAGGAGGGCATGGAGTTTAAGAACTTTTGGAAATTGGAACTGGGGGAAAGAAAATGTGGGCCTGAATTTCTCTCATCTAGGTTGTTGTAATGTACCAGGACTTGCCCCTTTCATGCAGTGTATGCCATTGCCACAGAGACCACAGAGCCTCTTGCATGAGCAAACAAAAGGCTGAGCTTCAAATGCAATTATTTTCTTTAAAAATTTGATCATGTCAGTTGTCTGCCTAAAAATGTCTAGCGGTTTCCCATTTCCAAACGTAGCCTGGTAAATCAGAACCTTCGCATTTAGTCCATGTGCATATTTTGTTTGGCTTCTTCTTCTCAATTCCCCAGTTTATGCTTTATGCTCAGAATTTTAAATTTATTTTCCCCAAAATACCTAAAACCCTTTCACATATATGTGTTTCTTCATGAGCTTATTCTGCCTCCTAAGAATGGTGTTGTCCCCTCTCTGCCTAGTGAACTACTCATTCTTCAAAACCCAATTCAAAGCAACATCCTCTGTGTGGTTTTCTCTGAGCTCCAGTGACACCATCGAGAACATGAAGGCCAAGATCGAGGATAAAGAAGGCATCCCCCCTGATCATCAGAGGCTCATCTTTGCAGGCAAACAGCTGGAAGATGGCCACACTCCTTCTGATTACAGCATCCAGAAAGAGTCGACCCTGCACCTGGTCCTCCGTCTGAGGGGTGGCTGTTAATTATTCAGTCTTGCATTCATAATGCCCAATGATGGCATCACTCTGCACTCTAGCCATTTGCCCCAATTTAAGATTAGAAGTTACCAGTTTTAGTAATAGCTGAACCTGTTCAAAATGTTAATAAAGGTTTTTTTGCATGGTTAAAAAAAAAAAAAAAGGAGACTTTGTCATTCCTTCTTCTGTACTCTCACCATATGCTCTGTGTGTTTTTATTCCAGCAAGCTGCCCAGTGTATTATGTACTTTCTTGCTCACTTTCTACAGACAACCTTAAGCTAAGTCCTGACAATCCACTTTTATGACATCTTTTACATCCTTTTCCTTGTTTTACTTCACTTTATAATTATTAATTCAGGTCTTCATAACTTAACCCTGGAAATAGCTCCTAAGTGATCCCCCAAATTCCCTATCTTCTCTTCACTCCAAATGGTCATTTTCATTGCTGCTAGACTAGTAGTTCCACTGTCCTATTCCAGAATGATATTTTGGCACCAGATTTCTCTATGGTTGTATATATTTTAGGGGTAACAGTGATATGAAGGTAAACTAAAGTTAAAAACACTGAGAAACAAGCTATTCTTTCTTTTGGAAATAACATCATCTTGATTCTCAAAGTTTATTGTAAAAAGGACACTGAATCTCTGCAGTATGTAGTTTTGGGTAAATCTGAGAAATAGTACAATGAAAAGAATGAAAGATAATAAGCAATTTAAGGACAAAAGTCAAATGGTACAAATATAAAATGGATAGCATTTTACCATGTATAAATTAAAGAAAAAAACCTATCAGGAGTATGTGGATAATAATCTGACCCTGAATCAATAACGCAATGAATGCCTTAGTAAAAAAAGGGAAAGACAAAGGGTCACAATATTGATAAAAATATATGTTACTCCTTCTATTATAGGTAGTAGTGAAGAACCTTACTGGAGTTAGGGAAATTGTATTAAAGGCCCATTTATAGTTAGAGGCATCAATTAGTGTGGACAGGAGATGGTGAGGGAAGATCTAGTAGTATAAAAGAAAGTATGGTGACGAGTATCCTCCCCCAAAGAACAGGGTACTAGATTAGTTGTTTGATATAATGCTTACTAAACTTTGGCATTTCCTTTTAAAGTGAGCTAGAAAATCACATTATAAAAGTTGTTTCCAATCAAAAGTAGGTATCTATATTTTTATTTTATCTATGTGTTTATGTAGGTTTAAACAGATATTGCAAGAATTTTAACCTGCAGTTACAGTGTTTCTATGCACTACTTCTGGATTTGTATCAATGCTTGCTATGCTAAAGGCTTCTCTACAGTCAGCCAAGATTTTTAACTTTTCTGAGATTTTGTGTCAGCCATCACAGCCAATACAGAGAGGTCACAAAAATGGCAGGCATTTACTTAACACTTGAGTGGGAAAAGGAGGCCCTAAACAAGTCAATAAGCACCAGGGTAATTTTAGACTGCGATGAGTGCCCTGAAGACTATGTGATAGGCTATAAGGGCTGGTGGGGACTCTTTCAAATAAGGTGGCCAAGGAAGGCCTCTGCAAGAGTGACGTCTGAAAGATCTTGAAAGTTAAGGAGCTGGCTCTTCAAAGAGCCAGAGGAAGGGAGGCCCCAGCTGAAGAAATAGCAAATGTAAATGTCCTGTGGTAGGGAAGGACTTGGCCAACTGACGAGACAGAAGGAAGCCAGTGTTGCTGGAGCAGAGGGAGCACATGATGTGCAAGGCGCTGGAGAGGCAAGCAGGGCCAGATCATCGAAGGCCTTGCCAGCCACATAAGGAGTTTTGACTTCATTCTTCATGCAAAGGATGCCATTAAGAGGTTTTAAGCAGGGAGGGGTATGATTTACTTTATGTTTTTAAAAGATCCTCCCAGTTGCTGTGAGGAAGAATTAGAAAGGGGCAAGACTGGAAGCAGGAAGATAGCTTAAGAGGCTACTAAGATTGTCCAGAGGCGGATGATGGTGGTGTAGACATGGCAGAGTATAAATGAATAGAAGGTATACAATCAAAATATGAAAATTAATTCAGTGAATATTAATACAGTTTGGTCTTGGAAAAAATAGTCACACAAAAATCTCAAATTTTGCTTTTTATATCTAACTTTACATTAGCTGCTAGCAATAACTAAATTGTATAATCCATGGAGCACATAAAAATAACCACTTAGGCCCAATAAAATACTTGGGCTTACTTGACAGCTTTGTAGTTCAAGATTTCAGACATTTTCTTACCTCAGGGAGACTCTCAATAAAAGTGGATATTCGCTGCATTTGCTACTTCTTTTATCTCATTCAATGGCATGACACGGCTGTTATCACCATAGGCAATGTTCTCAGCAATGCTACAGTTGAATAGCACAGGCTCTTGAGAAACGATTGCTATTTGGGAACGGAGCCACTGTACTGTACGTTCAATTCCTTTGCATCCACACCATCAAAGAGCTGCCAAAAGCAGAACGGAAAATGGTATGTGAAGATCCAACAACTGTATCATGTTACGGTTCACGGTATTCAAACATATACAAATCATAACAAGAAGGTTAGGAATTCAAGCTGTTTCATAGTATAATGTTACCCAAGGAAGGTTCATAAATCATATGTTGTATAGAAGCAGACAGCATGTAACTGACTAAAGTACAGACTCCTAAACTTACTTGACATTTCTAGGAATGGCTATATATTCTAGAGACCTGCTCACAGTCTAGAATAACGTCTGGTGCTCTGTATTGAAGTCAGATAAAAAAATACCAACCTCCACTGCAACAGGATCCCACTTTATTAAAACCTGGTGAGAAAGTAGGTGCAGATTGATACAGTAGTCCACATGCAGAAATAAGTCATTTTGTACAAAGCCATGTTTATTCACATGGACGTATAACAAAATTCAAGTGACAATTGATGAGCATACCTATTATGTGATGGGGACTCTTCAGACACTGGGGAAACAGTAATAAACAAGACAAAGCTCTTACCCTCCTGTAGCTTATATTCTGGTGGAGAGAGGCAGGCAATAAGCACACAAACAATAACATCAGAAAAAAGAAAGTGTCATGAAGACAAGATAATGGGATAGAGGGTGACTAAGGGTGTGGTGAGGATCTGGGAAGGGGGCGACGGGATGCATTATATTCTATCTAAGGAAGTAGCATTTAGACTGAGACATGAATGATGAGAAGACATTGGCAAAGAAGTTAGAGTAAGAACATTCGAAGCAGGGGAATAGCAAGAACAAAGGTCCACAGTGTGTTTAAAGGACATAAAGAAGCCAGTGAGACTGACACACAGTGCATAACGAGCTAGGAGGGATAGGAGAGGAGTTTGGAGAGAGAGGCAGGGGCCAGATCATGAACGACCTTGATTTGATGGTATGGACTCTGGTTTATTGTAACTGTGGTGGGAACTCATTGGAAAGTTTAAAGGAGGGAGTGTGCTATGCTACGTGCAAATAGGTGAATGTCACCTGATTTTCATACTCATTGTTAACTCATTGTTTTCTCTTGTAACAAGGCAGCCATTTTGGACTGTTCCATTTTTCAAAGAGTCTTTGAGACTCTGTGATGGGGAAAAGACTGTAAATTGCAGCAGAAGGATGACTAACATGACAATTTTTGACTTTTATGGACTTACGGTTTTTTGTGGGGGTAGGAGAAGGCAGAACAGGAAATTGTCTTTGTGTGTGTGTAATTTGGTGGTGGTTGTGGGGAGAGAATAATTGAAAATCTGAATACAAGTTAAAGTAAGAAAAGTGCCAGGTGAGAAAAACAGTCCTTGGAGTTCAAAGGAGGGAGAGGTTGCATTTTTTTGAGATCAGAACTTAACGGAGCTGATTGAAAGAAGCTCTAATCATGTCTAAGGTTTTGAGAGTTGGGAGGTGGAGATGGCCAGAGTGAATAGCAGGAAGCCTGAACCAGGGAGGCAGAACAGAGTGACAAAAGAGCCCAGATGTTGATATTACACCCATCTTCCAACACCTGTATTCTAAGAGAATTCCATGGCTTATAAGATCAAAATTTCTGCTCTATAATGGTTGAAGAATCTTTGGAGCTTTGATCTTAGCCTCAAAGTCCTATCCATCATTTCTGTTATTGGTTTGCTTATCCTCTTAGTTAAGGCATAGAGATTTTTTTTTTTTTAACTACTGCACTGTTTGCCCTCCCCAAATCAGCGAGGATGCTTAAGCCCAAGGGAATGTTTAAGAATAGCCCCACTAACCCCCAGATAAGTTGTATTTGAATTCAGTCTTACCACTTGTCCTTTCACTGGGTCATAAAATCTCTGCAGAAGTTGGACAGAAATGCTTTTCCCACAGCCACTGCTCCCAACAAATGCTACAGTCTTCCCTTTCTCAATGCTGAGGGATAAACTGGGAAGGATTAGAACATCTGGGCGGCATGGATGAAGAAAGAGACTCTCGGAACTCTATATTCCCTTCACATGTGTCCTGTGAAAGAAAGTTGGCAGTGTTTAGAGGATGACTTAGAAAGGCTGTAACAAATTATAGCACATTGGCTGAATGCTTTCTGAAAATTGTGCATGTTTCCACAACCATTTTAATTTTATTATTTTTAAAATAAATTTATTTATTTTTGGCTGCATTGGGTCTTTGTTGCTGCGCACAGGCTTTCTCTAGTTGCGGCGAGGTGGGGCTGCTCTTCGTTGCGGAGTGCAGGCTTCTCATTGTGGTGGCTTTTCTTGTTGTGGGCCCTAGAGTGAGCGGGCTTCAGTAGTTGTGGCACATGGACTCAGTAGTTGTGGCTCGCGGGGGTCTAGAGCACAGGCTCAGTAGTTGCTGCGCAAGGGCTTAGTTGCTCTGCGGCATCTGGGATCTTCCCGGACCATGGCTCGAACCCGTGTCTCCTGCATTGGCAGGCGGATTCTTAACCATTGCGCCACCAGGGAAGTCCAACCATTTTAATTTTAAACATCGTATTCCTTTCTATAGAGTTGCTGACTGCATATTTGTTTCTGTCACTTCTGTTGAGATTTTTATATCTGTAGTTCTTGTCTTCACTACGGGACTTCACCAAGTTCCTAAAATCACTAGTTTCCTTTGGCTTCAGTACCCAGTCACAGTGCAATCTGTAAATTAGCTGTTTGACCAGCTGCTCTAAATAAATACATTTTAAAAATATTAGTTTGTGCTTTATAGACATTTATTGCTTAATTCAGCATAGCTGGGGTCCTCATCAACTGTACATATAAATGTTTTTCTGTTTTTTTTTTTTTTTTTTTTTGCGGTACGCGGGCCTCTCACTGTTGTGGCCTCTCCCGTTGCGAGGCACAGGCTCCGGACGCGCAGGCTCAGCGGCCATGGCTCACGGGCCCAGCCGCTCCGCGGCATGTGGGATCTTCCCGGACCGGGGCACGAACCCGTGTCCCCTGCATCGGCAGGCGGACTCTCAACCACTGCGCCACCAGGGAAGCCCCTGTAAATGTTATTTTTGTAGGTTGGACCATGTTTTACAGTTAATATACATTATATTTTGAATTCAGATTTATGTTAATTGATCATTTTTTGGCAGTGACACTTGCCTAAAAGTTTATCTTTCTCTCTATGCTTCTTTCTCTTTAGTGGTTGGTAATTTGTAAACCAATACTTATGTACACCAGGGATGTTTACAAAAGACTTTCCAGAATGATCAGTAAATGATGATTAACTTTCCATTTACGTATTTGGTTCATAAGATTTTAGGTTCTTTTGAACTTCATGTTTGCCCTCAATCAACTGCATTTTAAGTAGTCAGGTTTAATAGTCATGCTCAGCATATTCCAAGCCCAGTATATAGGTAGGAGGCGTGGGTAGGTGGAGGGGAGGAGTACCAAAAACTGTTTGACAATGAAATTATTCTGTTGTCAAAGGAAAGAAATGTTAACATATGGTTAAGAGGTCTAGAATTAGAAAAAATATTTCCTGGAAGGATATATGCCAAAATATTAAGTTTAGTAGTAGCTTATTTTAAGCTTATTCAATGCTTTTTGTTTTGCCCACTACAACACATGAATATTATTTGTGAAAAAAAAGTTTTTAAAATAACATCAGGATACTGCAGAATAATGAGAGCGCAATTATTTCTGTGTATGCTCTGGTGCCTTTTGGAAAGGCATAGAGAGATGTTCTAAATTTCTAGACTTAATACCTTTAAAAATTTATTCCTACTATTTTAAACATTTTGTTATGGAATATTTCAAACTTCTATAAAAGTAGAGAGAATAATATGTAACGGACTGCTATATGCCTATCTCCCAGCTTCAATAACTATCCATATTTGCCAATTTTGTTTTACCAGACTTTAACTTTTTTAAAGCATAGGGACTGATATTTAGAAGTATACATATATTAAATAAAATAAAGATTAAATAACAATTTTGTAGTCTTTATAAGGAACATTTCCACATTCTATGTCTTGTATACAGTCCTATGAGGACATTTATCAATGAGATGCTCAATCCCTCTATTGTAATGTTTAGAAAGAAATGAGTAGTAATATTATTAAATATCTAAATTCTAAGATTAAAAAAGTTTCCTACATACTTTACTTTCCAAAAGACAAGTATAAAATCTTATTTTGACAATAATGTATCTTAGAGTATTCTATTTTGAGAATATCATGATCTTTTTGTTTCTGACAACCAGCATTCCTTTTAATAATTATGAAGTTCTAGTGATAATGTACTATTTTAAGCTATCGTACATATAAATCTACTGTTAAAATTCTAGAGGGAAATACTCTTAAATGAAAATTTTCTTTTAAGTATATACCTAATAGCTATTCTTTTAAATTTAAGATGTCTAGAAAAATTGAATATATGTTTAATGTATAAGACTGCTATTGAGAGGCTTATTTTGAAATTATACGATCTTCCTATTGCTTCCCTTTTAATATTCACAGTCTTTTAGAGTTTGTGACTAAATATGTGCATGTGTTTTAATATTTAATAATTTAACAAATATAGTTCCCTTTTTCTCTCTTTTGTTTGCAGATATATTTCCCATGAAAAATGGCATCTGAAGTTGCAGGGCACTATTTACCTTGCATATGTTATCAGAGGAAAAAAATGAATAAATCCTAATGCAAATCTTTATCCCAGACTAAAACTTTTGCAGTCTAAGTAAAATGAAATATATAAATCAATCATTTGTTCCAGAATATTCTCATGGCATCAGGCAAATAAATAAACTAGAAGCACATATTTTAAAATATAAAGTCTGTACATTTTAGTAACAGAGGTGAAAATTTGATTAAGACCCCCTTTCTCCCTTTGTAGCCGTAACAATTATTTAAACAAGCTTTTAATTCTTTATAGCACTCTCTTTTGCAGTTATCAGATAATGCCTTCATTTAAGTCTCTATTTAGAGAGCATGCGTATAGACAATTAATAATAAGTGGACATTTAAAATCAGAGTTGTGCTTACGGGTTTTTTCCATTCTTGACTATAGCTGTCTATAGTTGGTTTCTTTTCCAACAAAGCAAACAGAGGTGCAGCGCCAGATTTGGCTCTCGAATATTCAGGTGCCAAAACAAGTGTTTCTCCAATGGTCATAGCTCCATATGCAACTGCAGTAAAAACTCTATCAAAATATAAAGCATTTGAATCTCAATTAGGTCTGTTTTCAAACAAGAGCTGTAAAAGCGAAGGAAAAATCAGGCACTGGAATATAATCTTTTGGCCCAGACAATACCATCAATGCTGAAGGCCTAACAATGATATCTCTTTTGTAATTTTCTACCACATAGTGATCATCCCTTGCCTTGTACACCAAAATAACCTTTGGAGCTCAGGTAATCTTAAAAATTTCTTTTCCAATTAGAAAGATAGCTCAAAGGCTCTAACTAATGAATATAAAACTTCTTAGCCTCCTTGATATAAGGCTCATTTGCTTGGAGATTTAACAGAGAATTCAACTAACAATAGGAAGAATGTGTCACCAGTAGTGAGATCTGAATTTACACAGTAGATATGAATGTTTTTTTTTTCTTTTTTTGCATATAATGTAGTTAGAACAGATAACTGATGTCAGATGATTGGTTATCTGTCTGAAGTGCTACATGATTTAAAGAGAACAAAGCATGGAGATTGTACTTTGTTAAGGTCCTCAAAACAATATCTGACTAAAATATACCTTAGCCAGGCTGGAAGAAGAGCTTTGATCTTTGGTCTACTATAGATTATGATCTCAGTCTTAAAATATGTTAATTATAAAATGGTAAGTGTGCAAATGATGTTTGGAAGCACACAGATTGTTCACAGAAATGTGGCATATCATGTGGTCATGGTTAAATATTTTCCTCTCATTTCCTTTTTCATTTTAGCCATGAAAACATATTACTAGAATGAAAAATAATGCATCTCAGTGGCAGAGCTAAAGGTATAATTCCGTTTCACTGGCAATATTTAAACATTAGGCAGTAAAAAGACATCACAGAACCCAGTTGTTTGTTTGCTCTGCTGGATCACAGCAAGGTAAACACACTGGTCTCCTTGTGAATTTCTTCAGAGATGGGACCTACTAAGCGCTGGATTTTGAGGCAATCTCTTCAGTGACACAGGCCTCAGATCTTGAATCCTGTTGTCTTTACAAATGTCAAACACAGTATAAAATATACAAACAACCAGTTTACTGGGATGTGAGACACTAAAATTTTGTAGCCACTAGTTCTGTGATGTCAAGGCAGTTTTAGTACTAATATTTAGTAGAATTATTTAGAGCTCAAAATGCCATTCAAAATACTTAATACTCAGCTATAAATATCAGAAGTGGTTATTGAATTTAGGTTACACATCAGAGGTTTTTTTTTTTTTTAATGCAAGGAAAAAAAACCAGGCTGAATCAGACTCCAGCCTCAGTCTGATCCAAGAGTCAGCAGGTAAGATGGGAAGAGAATTGGATTATGAGTCAGGAGACTTGGATTCTAGTCCCACAGGGATGGAGGCTTCTCAGAACAACTAAGAAAATACCATTTTCCTCTGATTTGAGATGTGCCAAAATATCTACCTGTCGTAAAATTTGTGTCATTAAAAGTCAATTTAATCATTTGGCATAAATGTACAAAGGCTAATGTCTTTGTTAGGTCTCCCATAAAATGAAATTTACTGAGAAGGGTAGAAGGGAGAAGTTGTTTCTGTGAGAGGTAAATGATCCAAAGGATGCACAATAGAGCAAGAAGAAAAGTTTTAGTAGAGAAGGGAGAGTACCAGCTAAAAGCCCTGATGCTGTCTTTATTGTGTATATGTTGAGGGGAGGCTAAGTGGGATGGGGGTTGACATTGATGAGGATTACATTGAGGAACCTAACTTTGTGGTGATGGGACTATCTGGGGGTTGAGTCAGGGACATTAATCTCCTTTATACTTTTTCCCCAGGTGGGTTCTTTATAAAGAGGCCAAAGCTGGTCTGCTATAGAATCTGTCCTAACCTAGTCTGGCCCAATTAGCTAGAGTGAACTAAGTTGCATTTCACTTCCACTTAGAAAGTATTTATTGCACAATAACCAGTGCTCTAACTCCATGAGAGAGTTAAACCAGATCCTTCAAATTGGTCCAACCTCCTGGAGGCATCTGAGCCAAGAGCTTACTCCAGAGAAATGTTCAGGCCGACTTCCCATGCCAATGTTGGTCTTGGGAATTTCACCCATTTGGGATATACAAAGAGGAATGATTTGCTATAATGATGAATGTTTTAAAGTCACTAATAACACATTTGTCAAAGTATTAACCTATCATAAATGCTTATATAGCCCCTTCATGCCCAAATAAGATTACAAGAAACATTCCACCGTTCAGAAATGATTTTCACGTTGAAATAATTCTTGAACCATAAATATGTAAAGCAGGAATTCAAAAACCTAAAATTTAACTTCTACAAGTTTCTTAATTTAAATTGTCCATGGAAGAAGAAATCTTATCTATAGTTTATCCTTATATGGATTTACACTGAGTTTATACTGCTTTACTGAATTTATAGCAAAAACCTCCAGGTTGGCTGGGGTTGAGGAAAGAGAATATTGAGCAGGAAGAGGTCTGGAGAGGGTTTTCACGTGCTAGGCTTCTTCTTTCCTAGTTTTATGGATCCTTCATGGGTTCATGGGGCCGTTGTCACTGCACCATTACTACAATGATCCTTCCAAGCAGTGGGGAAATCCCCTTGCCCATCATTGCTGCTAAAATAGAATTAGAATTTTTTTTAAATAAATGTATTTATTTTATTTATTTATTTTTGGCTGCATTGGGTCTTCACTGCTGCGCGTGGGCTTTCTCTAGTTGCAGCGAGCAGGGGCTACTACTCTTCATTGTGGTATGCGGTCTTCTCATTGCTGTGGCTTCTCTTGTTGCAGAGCATGGGCTCTAGGCGTGCGGGCTTCATTAGTCGTGGCTCGCAGGCTCTAGAGCACAGGCTCAGTAGTTGCGGCACACGGGCTTAGTTCCTCCGCGGCATGTGGGATCTTCCCGGACCAGGGTTCGAACCCGTGTCTCCTGCATTGGCAGGCGGATTCTTAACCACCACGCCACCAGAGAAGCCCGAATTAGAACTTTTAAAGGATCTTTTGGCTGGGAACAACGTAAAAAAGCATAGAAATGAACAATCCTAATTTTAATACAATTGATCCAAATAGAAATACCCAGCATAGTTGCTGGTTCAGGTCTATTTGTCTCCCCTTAACCCTGCTCCCATATCTAGCTTGTATACCTTTGGTGACTTATTCTAAGAGGAAGTATACTGGGCAGTTCAGAGACTGGACTCTGAAGCCAGATCACTCGGACTACATCCAAACTCCATTATTTATTTGCTAGTTCTGTGACCCTGTGCATGTTCTTTGTGTTTCTGCTTCCTTACTGACAATTGGAGATAACAAGACTATCTACATCTTATGGGGTTGTTGTGAGAATTAAATACATTAATAATATAAAGTGTTTAGTATAGTGCTCATTAAGTGTTTAAGTTATTGTTATTCCTCTCATAGAACTGAAAGTTAATGGGACACTTTCTGTTGGAAAGTAAGTTCTCACATTTCTATGGATGTAGATTAGCACAGCAGGTCACACCACAACTTCTGAAGTCCCCACTCAGTAAGTTTCTTTTTTTTGATTGGAAGACAGAGTATCTTTCCTCACAGGGGTGGCCATTACAATTATTCCCATACTCATACTCTTTTCCCCTAACATCCATATAACAGTACAAAGATCCTTTTCTTTTCACCATAAATCCCTTTCTCAACGGAAGGGAGAGAGAAAATACACAACTTATATTTATTTGGTACTTTGGGTTTTACAGAATGTTTTTGTATACATGTTACCATTTGATCACCTAGGAGTAAGACACACACATCACTTTTTAATAAATAAGGAGACTCTTTATCTCAGAGAAATAAGCAATTTGCCCAGAATCACAGAGCTATGAAACTGTAGGACTGGAACTTGAACCTCCTTGTTAACTGTTTTCCCTTACACAGTGCTCCTTCTAGTGGAAAGCTGACCTGAACTGTCTCTCCCTGCATGTTGGGGTTTGTTACCACTTGTTTCCCATTTTAGAATCTTCAGAGGACCCTAGATAGCAAATCCCCCTTGATTTGTCTCCTTTAGATCCCTTCAATGGTTGATCCCTCTATCTGGTCTCCTTATCTTTTCCTCCTAACCTCTGCATAATCTCTGGGGAGGAGCCTGGCAGAAGCTGGGTGGCTGCCATGGCAATGAACACTGAAAGAAGACTTTCCTGTTTTCCTTGTTTTGGCTAACTAAGGTTGTTTTCCTAATTATGTGAACACAGTTCCACGGCTGCCTGGCCTACCAGAGCAAAGATGATGGTGGAGACCTAGCTTGCTTTCTATTCCTTTTTATTCCAAGCTGTTAACCTACTATTAATATTCACTGAAAACCCACCTATTGTTCTTTTGGCCAATAACCACATTAAATATTCAAAGTTCAATATAATTTCCTGTCAAGAACTGCATTTGGATTTTTGGAGGACTAGGCCACAACACATAAGCTGCTTGGCTCTCTGCTTATCAGGCAGTTTTCAAAGCTGTGGCTTTTATAATTACTGTACTGAAGGCTGTCATGCTTTGATTCTTTCTTACCCATCTGCTCTACTTAGCTTCCTGCTAATATGTGTAGCAAAGAAGGAAGAAACAGAGAGAGGAAAGTTCTGACGTGGGAGTATGGAGAATAACAGAAACCTCTGCTGGGCACTAATGGTTTCTGGACTATACTGCAAAAGGCAAGTTAGCTAGAAACTAACCTAAAGGCACTAAAATTCAGATGGGAGAAAATAAACGTATGTTGTATTTCTCAAAGTCTGTACATTTAGACTGAAGTAAATCCAAAGTGTTGCCAGGGCCAACAGAAGCAGAAGGGGAGATTTTTACTACACGTATGTGTATGAGAACGTTAAGTAAGAGATTTTCTGAATGCCTATGCATTGGCTGCAAGGCAGCAGAGGGAAAATGTTACCACCTTTTAAAAAATGCTCATTTCAGAGAAACTTCTACAGTAATAGAGATGGATGGAGACAGTTTCTACCATAAGAAATGTATGTTGCCTATTTTTTTAGAAGAAAAAGCTAAGGTTTTGGTTA